GTTTAAGAGTGATTTAAGTTGACTCTCGAAAAGCGAAATGGAAGTAAATTTAGGGACAGAGGGAGTAATAGTAAACTAGTGACATCCTAATACCATACAATCACATTTTGACATTTCCAACATTATGGAAGTACTAATGTCATAATTGACAGTTTTTCCAGGCATAACAACAATTACTCTTTTTTTTTTTTGAAAATTTTACTTTGTTTTTTACTCAAAATTTGAAATTCTACCATTTTAGACCCTGCCAACAAGCTCTTAGTATGGCTAGTGTTTACTGGAACCAGTGGAACATATAGTTGAAGGGTAAACTTACTTGAGGTGGGATTCCACGTTGGATGAGAAGGGGACTAATGAGCATTCCACCACCAATGCCAAACGCTCCGCCCAAAACCCCTGCCAATAGGGCCATCACTGGGAAAAGGAGCTTGTTTGGCTCTCCTCTCGTTGCACCACCTTCTTCGTCCTTCATAAAGAAATATTTTATTCTTGAAAGAAGACCAAGATTCCCTTTTTATGATTCTTGAGGCTCCATTTGGTTTGACAATGAAAAAGTAGGGTTGACTTTTCTATTTGGCTGAAATGAATGGGACCTCCGGAGTCCGGGCCGAACTTTTACGTATAGTAACAAAATTCAGTTGATTAATTCATTTCAGCCAAACACCCCATGCCAAACGAGCCCTGAATCAAAGAAGTTATCTTTTTGCCAAAAGGAAAACCATTTTAGTATTTTCCGTAGAAGATTGAAAACTTTCAATAGTAAACACCTGGTCTTTGGAAGACGAACTCTGCCATCTTTGGTTGCTAAACAAGATCCATGTGGTTAAGCTTACAGCAAGAGGTATTTGAATTGATGAAATGATCCAATACACCACACCACAAGCTTCTATGTTAATAATTCCCTGCAAAACATTTATTTATCTAAAATGTAAAAGTAAAAAATGATATCAAAACTTCATATTTAGGACCCCTTTGGTACCCAATTACGGAGTACTATTGATTGATAACCCATTTGAGCTTTTCACCTTTATTGGCTTACAAAACACTCCCCGGTCCCATAAAATTTTCTTACTTACCATTTTGCAATGTCTCAAAAAAATTTGCATTTCCTTTTTTGGAAAGTTTTGCATAGCTAACATTCGTTTACATTTCCAAACGCGCCCATTTACCTTTTTCCTACTCAATCGTGGCTATTCATTTATCTTTTTCCTACTCAACCACGCCCATACATTTCCATTTTATTCTCACTTTTTTAATAAACGTGCCAAAATCAAATATGGAAGTATCTTTTGGGACAGAGGGGTAGTAAAATAATTAATAATCAAAATAAAGAAACTGATAATATATACTTATGTATTTAAATTGCTTAGTAACTCAATTTTAACTTTTTCTCATACTACGTACGATTTTTTGTTATTTTATTATTAATACAATATAGCTCAATAAAATTATAATATAGCAAATGCAACCAATCAACCATTAATCTCGAGTTTGAACCACAATAATTTCACCAACCAATGCGGAATTTTTAGTTTTACTAAAAAGGCTTTTGATGAGTTTATTCAGCTAATGAATGGAGTAAATTGCATTTAACTTATTTATTATTGGGCTAGTACCAATTTTACCAATGTTTTTATTTCCTTCAATTCTTTAAGTAGGTTCAGTGAAATTACTCTTACCAAACGGATCCTTAGCGGTTAGCATGCAGAATATGTATACATACATACATGTCCATATCGGTTCCCGCGAAAAAGATGTAGGAGGAAGAAGCATATCCAGATCATAAGCAACATACCAAGCTTCATTATGTGGGTCCCCTTCCCCCTCAATTGATCCTCTTCCCCACAAGAACTCTCCTTATCAACCAACACAGTCTCCATTTCTGGGCAGCCATTTCTCTTCTCTGACTCAATTCTCCAGTACACAAATCCTGACTTGCAGGTGTTTACAGTGGACCAGACTAGAAAAACAGCAAAGGAAACAGTGATGAGCCAATCTGGGAAGACAACATTGCAGATCACTCCAATACTCACTCCCAACAGCATCGACGGCTCTGATAGTAAAGCTATGTCCAGATCTATCAGAACCTTTCCCCCACTCGGAATGAATGTGTTACAAACAACATTTGAAATTATTCCTCCTGTTACCATAAACGCCGAGAAACTCGTCGATGTTTTTAGGTCTAAGCCGGCAACGATGGTCAGAATCGGAATGTATAAACCTCCGCCGCCGATTCCGCCAGCACTTGAGATTGTGGCCGCGATGAAACAGAGGATTCCGGATGCCACGACCGGGGCACCGAGTTTCAGATTCCCGTCTTCGGATTTGCTCTGGGGTGCTCGGCCTGAATGGATTGAATTCAGGAACGGAACCGAATCGGGTAATTGTGGTAACGGATTTGAGTCTTCTGCATATGAAACATTGCAGAGGATCAGAAGCAATAGGCAAACCAGACATTTGAGGATACCGAAGAAATGCATTTTCTCGGGGGATAAGAAATGGGTGCGTTCTTGGGGAATTAAAGGGAGATACGGAGATGCAAGCGTGTACGGCATATGTTGCGGAAAGAGCGATAGCTCGCCACATGTCAGAATCCGCCATGAATTTGCTCCCATTATCATCATCCATAACAAAACAATGTGCACCTTAACACTGAAACATCCGGTTATTAGCGGTGAATGGGTTAATCCGTAATGAATGGGTTGAATTTCCTTAATCATAAACATTTAAAATACATTTTATAATAAGAATAGAAAAAATTTCATACATAATAACTAAAATAGAATAAATATATAGTATTAATAAAATAAATAAAAAATTATATGTAAAAATAGCTAAATTAGTCATCGAGAGTAACTTCAGCCAATACAGCCAGAAAAGTAACTTCAACCTTACTTTTTCTACTTATTACGCAATTCAGCGCGTGAAAGCAAAAGTTACGTGTTTGGTAAAAAAAAATTGGCCGATAAACCTGATAAGCCGAAAAACAGTATTGCCAAACGGGCTCTACATGTTCTCCTATACAAATATTTGACATATTCGGGTTTTAAAATCGAAATTGCACTAGATTACCTCGTGTATTACGCATTCCTTTAGGCCTTGTTTGGTTCAAAGGAGGAGAGGGAAGGGGGTGGAGTCAAGGAGGGAAGGGAAGGGAAGGGAAGAGGAAGGACGATTTTGATAAAAAATTGTGTTTGGTTGGAGGAAATAGGAGGAAAGATTTAATGAAAATATTTTCACAATTTATTTTTATTTGATAGCTTATTTAAAACACTAGATATATCTCTAACTATTGTGAATATTGCTCCTATGGTTATGAGTGCTTTTTTTTTTTAAATTTTTACTCTTTTAATTTTATAATTTTTTATTTTTTAAATTTTTAATTATATACTCCCTCCGGCCCGGTAAGATTGTCCCATATTAGCTTTTTGGTTCGTCCCACTAAGATTGTCCTATATCAAATTTGACAAAGTTTGTGTGATTCTAGATCATTCTTACTTTACTATTACTTTATCAATTTAATATCAATCACATAAACATCTTTTTGTTGGTTTGTGTGTCACTCCCCTTTGTCCCATTGTTAGGGGGACAGAGTTAGTAATTTTTTACTTTTTTAATTTTTTAAATTTTTTATTGTTTTGATTTTTTATTTTTTTATTTTTTAGTTTTTAATTTTTTTTAATATTTAAACTTTTTAATTTTTAAAATTTTCAATTTTTTAAAACTTTTTTTTACTTTTTTTTATATTATACTATCTCTGTCACGGTGGACTTTGCCAAGTGCAAAGTTCGTGAGAAATAAGAATAGTAAAAACCGTGTGGTTGAGATTTGTGCAGAGGAGCGCCGAGAGAGAATTGTGTAGAACCACAAATTACTTGCATTAATAGAAAAGTGACAAAGTTCTTTGGGACAACAAAAAAGGGAAAGTTGGCAAAGCCCAATGGGACGGAGGGAGTAACATTTTGTTCATTCACGTAGGAGATGGATAGTTTGTGACTTTGTGGTTATCAACACGTTTTCTCCGAAATACTCCGATTTGAGAGATTTAGAATAGGAGGAAGTGGAGGATTTTGGAAGCCTTCCACTTTCCCCTCTTTCTCTCCTATTTCCTTTAACCAAACACACACAAATCTCTCACTTTCCTCTCCTCTCCTCCGAAACCCTCCAACCAAACAGGGCCTTAAAGACATACTGCGTTTATATCATGACTTCTTCCTCTAATAAATACGGAGTATAAAATATAAGAATGACATAATAAAAAATAATCAAAGAACTTAATTTGAGATATGAAATTAAAAAATAATTTAAAATAACTCAACACAAAAAACAAATGTCATGGTAGGCGCAAGCCCAAACCAAAATAAACAAACTTAGAGCCCGTTTGGTAGCACCAAAATCGGCTGTTTTGGCTGATTCTGCTGAAATTTATGATATTCTGGCTGGAGTGGCTGTTTTGGCTGATTCTGCTGATTTAAGAAAAAAATATTTTAAAAATATATTTTATTAATAAATTAAAGAAAAAATTATATGTAAAAATAGCTAAAATGGTCCTCTACAGTAACTTCAGCCAATACAGCCAGAAAAGTAACTACAACCTTACTTTTTCGGCTTATTACACAATTCAGCGCGCGAAAGTAAAAGTTACGTGTTTGGTGAAAAAGCTGGCTGATAAGCCTGATAAGCCGAAAACAGAGTTCTCCAAACGGGTTCTTATATTATTAAGGTAAAAAAGGCGTGAAAAAAATAAAAATCATTTATGCCGTTTCAATTCAGCTCTGACTCGACTCATGCTCGGTTTGAATTTGCTCATTAAATTGTATAGCTTCAAACTTGAATAAGATGTTTGAACTCCAATTCAAAATGAATTTTCCATTTTTGAAATCTTTTGATGTGCTATTTTTTTTAATTTAGGTATGCTCTAAATTTTCAAAAATAAAACATTCCTTTTTATCTCCAACCAAATTAGATAGCATCACAACAAATTTACCAGAGCAAAGGAACCAAGTTTTTGGTCTGTAATAACTTCAATAATGGAGAGAATTGAAACAATTTTGCTTCTTGTACATGTCAATGTGTATAATATACCCAATATAATTTTGTTTATGACACAAATTAATATAAAAAAAAAATATGTACGAAATAAAAATTTCAAATTTAAAATAAAATAGCACCAACACTAGCTAATTAAAATACATAGGGCAAATCCTGTCTTTGTAAGCTGCTGCGAGCATGCCATCTGTCCCAACCCCGACCCCACAGTTCGTATGCATCCTCTGCTTTCTCGACTTAAAAGAAGACCCCACCTTGAACCAGATCGTCGACGTCAAGTCCAGCCCGAAAACCACCAAACCCCGCGACGCGCCGGCCACCAGGCGCGTCCAGTGCTGACTACTCGCATTCAGCGCCGCCCCGGTGATCGACCCGGCGAAAACCGTCGTGTTCTTCGCCCCTTGATAGAACCGTCTCGGGAAAGAAGCGTTCCCGATCGTCTGGCCGTCGTAGGAAACCTTGACCAGAACGGCGTCGTAGTGGATCTTGATATTCTGGTTCGAGTTTCTCACCGTCACGTTGAAGGTAATAGTATGGGCATCTCTGCCGGCGCCGGCGCCGGCGCCGTTACCCAGGGCCGGAAAAGAGAAGTACTCGACCCGGACTCTGGGGCGGTGGGGCCGGAGGCTTATCCACAAAATGAATGCGATGAGGGCTATGACGAAGAGAAAGCCTAAGACGATTGCGATGATGAACTTGGAGAGTCTGGTGGTTAGGCTGTCTTTCACCTGGCGGAAGTAATAGCGGGCTATGTCACCGTGGGAACGGCCGGAGATTTTTATTGGTCGGACGGAGTTCGTTTCGCCGTCGGGTTTTGTAGGTGGGTTTTCCATTTTCCGGCGAGCTGGTTAATTGGTGTGGCGGTGGTTATGGAATATAATATACTCCGGAGGATTGATTTTACGTGGATTATATATTACAGTGGTGATGGAGATTGGCTAAGGTGACCGGCGTATCAAGCAATGCCGGAGGAATATAATGTTGAATCCCACCTGAAAGAAAAGAATATCGCCAGAAATTATACACTGTAACCAAATTAAACAATACTCGTTTCATTCATGTTTGAAAAAAATCATTTTCGATCAGACAGATATTCTTTTCACCATTTGGATGTTCATGCTCATCGCATGGTAATGAAGTGATGTTTTATTCTTGAGTAGTGTATGGTAATTGATATGTGTTTACTTGGACGGGTCCCAGACCAGATTAGACCAGACCAAACTTGGATAGTTATAAAAATACAAAGAAATCAGACTAGACCAGTTCAGACCAGACCAGATCAGATCAGACCAGACAAGCAAATTACAGTCCAAGTAAAAACATCATTAGTATACAACTCCAGGTTACATTTCAAGTTACACTCTATTTATTTACCTTCACATAGATAAAAAAAGTATAACTACATGCACTTTTTGACAAATTTGCTTATGTGAACAAAATTTGCTGCGTAAATAAAATTTGTCTGTAAACATGTTTGCGCACAGACAAAAATATATGTGCATAGACACTTTTATGCCTATACGGATATAAAAAGTCAAATTAATGTCTGTGTACATACATTGGTTTATGTGCAAATCAAATTAATTGATGTGTTTTTTTTGCAGAAAAGTTAATTAGATTAGATTGCGCGGAAATCAATGTATGTATTATACTGGCACTTTGTGTCTTTATACACACAAAAAGTGTTTAATTTGTGCACATACTCCCTTCGTCCTGGAATTTTTTCCCGAGGTTGACTTCACGGATTTTTTGAAAGGAAAACAAAATAAAAGTTGACTTTCCAAAAGTACCCTTGCATAGTAAAGAGGAGTAGTAGTCCAAATTAATTAAAGGATGTAAGTGAATAGTAAAAGTAAAGGTTAAATAGGTGCTTTGAAAGCAAAAACTTACCAAAGGTTGAAATAAAGAACAGCAGGAAGTTAATTTTGGAAATCCAAACAGAAAATGTGAAAGTTAATTTAGGGATTAAGGGAGTATGTTTTTGTATGTGCACATGCATGTTTATAGACAAGTTTGGTTCACACAGACAATTTTTTAAATTTTATATACATAATATTTGTATCATATGAAAGATCGTAAAAAAATATGAATTTTGTTATATTTTTTTTAATATAAAAAATATAGAAAAAATGAAAAAGTTATAATACTTCCAAGAAAATAGTACGAGTAGTTTTTTTATACAATGGGCCTCATGAAGTGATGGTACGTTTCTAATATAAAAATGTTGGTGTTCAGCAATAGTCTTTGAATTCGTCATGTGACATTTGTGTAGTAAAAGAGTGAATTGTGGGAAAAAACACATACGAGTTTTTTAGAGGGTAAAAATGTATTCTAATATGTCTATTGTTTTTTTATACGGTGTATATAAATAGATAGATATATACCCCTAATCAAATTAATTAATAGAGAAAATCTTATGATAGGTCCACCCACTTTTCACAACAAGTCAATCGAGTCTATATATTTTTTTGAATTAATTGAGTCCATGAAGTATCAAAAAATATTCAATTAATCGACCTTTTCACAAGTTACCAACCGGTTACCCGGTGAGTGCCTACATAAACGACGCAATTGGCATTTTTTTTTACCATTTTCTAATTTCGTATTCTTCTTTTTTCCTTTTCTTTTCTCCCTTAGCTTCCTTTTTTCAACTTTCATTCTTTTGTTTCTTCCTTGTCCGCCCATTTCCTTTCACTTCTTCCAATACCACCATTTTTCTACCACCAAGTCCTCCCACTATGATAATATCCTGAGGTTCCATCCTAAAAGGTCAACCTGATAAGAGGAGTAGCCTAAAACCTTATATAGTGTTTAATTGTTTTATAGTTTTCCGTGTGGGACAAATGCTTCAACACGCCCCCTCAGCCTGAACCGGGCTGGACAATATTGGGGTGTATAAACGGGCCAAACAAACCCTTAACAAGCTACCCTTAATCATGAGCGCTAAACAAGCCATCAAACCACAACCGGAATTGACTCTGATACTAGGCATGGCAATGGGTCGGGGCGGGGCGGGGCGGGTACTGTAAGACCCAGACCCGCCCCGCCCCGTGACCTGCACAGGTCCAAACTCCAAACTTGTTGACCCATGACCCACCCCATGCGGGGCGGGGCAGGTTTGCCCCGCCCCGCCGTAACCTAATTAGCTAGTATGTATTTTTATTTGTTGGAAGTTGTTACCAATTGAATTTACATAAAGTTTATCTCTAAATAATAATTAAAAATTAATATATTAAATCAAATTCACGATACGCTAACAATTTCAAAAATTAAGGAAAAATTACTCAGACTTGAATAATTAATCTATTTAATTATATTAATCAGTGAATATATGTATTGAAATGCTATATATAAAGAAGACATTGATAATCCGTCGTTCATCTCATTCTAATATATATTAATATATTATAAAATCAAAGCATTTATGATTTATTGTATACACACATATGTATGTTGAAGTGTATTTGTAGTATAATTTAAGAAAAAGTATGTATACTTATATATTGAGCGGGTCGGGGCAGGGCGGGTCGGGGCGGCATGGGTCAATTCTAATACCCGGACCCACCCCATTGTATAGGCGGGGCGGGGCGGACCCGCCCCATTTGCGGACCCGCCCCAAATGTCTCGGGCTAGGGCGGGTCATTGCGGGTCGGGTTTTTTAAACATCCCTATTGCCAGCAAGTTTAATTGCTACAGCGGAGTTTTTTAAACATCCCTATCTGATACCATGTTAAGGCCCTGGAGTTCTATCCTAAAAGGTCAATCTGATAGGAGGAGTAGCTCAAAGCCTTATATAGTGTTTAATTGTTTTATAGCTTTCTGGTGTGGGACAAATGCTTCAACACACTAGAACGACCTCTGACCACCATATGTGAGGCATCCCCTCTGCCTCGTCTATTGGAGTGGTGCCCCGGCTTCCATAGCTACCCCCTCCGTGCGCGGCCTCACCTCCACCCCACTACCTTCATTCACACTTTCTCTGCCCACCACGACACCTCATCTGTAGCTTCAACCTCTGTGTGACGAGTGCATCTCTTAGAGGAAAAGAAGGGGGAAAGCGTGGGTCCCAAACAGAAGAAAACGTGGCAACAGATGAAAGGAAAAGGAGCAATAGGAATAAAATAGATAACACCCAGCTGAAGGATTTTGTATGGTCTCGAAAGTAGTATAAATATCCATTAATAATAAGGTTTGAGGGATATGATGGGTGTAAATCTCTTCCCGACCCATTCTGGGAGAAATGTCTATTCATCTGTTATTCCCCTTCCTGTTTTGGAACTTCTGCCAGTTGCCTTACTATTAATAAATAATATAAAATCCTTTGTACTCCATTGTATTAGTTTGTTTTCCCCTCCCCCCTTGTTACACTCCGCCTCCTCTATTGGAGAGGCCTTCAACCGCCACGAAATCCATAGCACCCATTTCCTCCCCCTCCATTGGAGCGACGACCTCCAAGTCTCCACCTACCCAGGCATTAATAACCAGGATTTAAATCCTCGGCCGCACAGCTGAGGTACTTGCGACATCCAACAGCAGGGACAATAAGGGAGGAGAGGCTGTGGGGTTGCTTTGGTTGAATCGCGTGGCTATTAAATCCACACACCATACCCTGCTGCTAAAGCAAGTCAGAGAACCCCGGTTCCACTCCCCTAACTCCATACACACTACCTTCGGCCACCACCTTTGTGGCCTCTATCTTCGCCTCTTCCATTGGAATGACCTGCAACTGCCTCTATCCACCACCTCTGATCCGCGGCCTCCATCTCTCCTACGTCCATAGTCACTGCCTTTGTGGACTCTTAATGTGGCTCATAGACTGGTAGATCTAGGGAGAAGAATGAAGAAAAATGCAAGCTTGGCAATCAGAGAAATTGAAAGAGAAGGGATCAGAAAAGGTTATAGTGCGTCGACACAGAGGAAGGAAAGAGAAAAAAGTTAAAGGAAAAAAAAGAAAAATTATAAATATGGAAAACAATAGTACCTCCGTTCTTAAATAAATGCAACACTTTGACTTTTACACTATTCATATGTTCTACTTTGACTACGTTTTATTTATTAATGTAATAATATTGTTTTATGAAAAAAAATATTGTTAAACTTGTCTCATTGTAAATTTTCATAATCTAATTTTTTTTTAATTTTTTTACTAATACAAAATCATTTATATTAATGGTCAAAGTTGTGTCTCGACAAGTGTGAAATGTTGACCGTTGCATTTATTTAAGAACAGAGGAAGTACGTAGTAAAAGAGCCGGCTGGATGCACACGTGGACAGGTAACCGGGTAACTGGTTGACAACCTGTTAAAAAGCCAATTTTTGTCATTTTTTGGTACTTCAAAGACTTAATGGATTCAAAAAAAAGTATGTGGACTCAATTGACTTTTTGTGAAAAGTATATGAACTTATTTGACAGTTTTCTCTAATTAATACAATGAATTACTCCACAGTTCCTTGACATAACCGGGTCAGTTCATTGATGATGGGCTTGTCCAATGGCGGCGGAGACAAATTAGTGGAGGAAGCACTATGGAAATTTTCTAACATATTCTGACAACCGGCAGTGAAAAAGTACTTTTATTTTGGGAATGTTAGAACTCTACTCCTATTTTATACTTTCTCCATGTCGTATTCCTATTTGAGAAATTATCTCTTAATAAATACACAATCATTTTATGTTTTCGACTTGATTGGCCCTTCATTTGAAAGAAATCATTTAGATTTGTAGTTCCTTGTTCATTTAAAATTTTGTCAAGTTTGACCAGCACAATGAATGATAAAGTAAAAACCATGTTGAACTTTGTGCATATGAGAGGGAAATATCATAAATAAAAAATTAATTGATTGGGAAATCGACAAAAATTTTGGGATAAGCC